TGGACGTTCGCGAAACTAACGACGCGTTCAAGTTCATCGCAGATATGCCGGGGCTGCGACGTGAGGAGGTGAAGGTGCAGATCGAGGACGGAAACGTGCTCGCGATTCGCGGCGAGCGCACGCGCGAGAAAAAGGAGGATACCGGAAGGTACCACCGCATGGAAAGGAGCACCGGGAAGTTCCTCCGCAGGTTTCGCCTTCCGGAGAACACGGATGTGGACAAGATTACAGCGAACACGGAACACGGCGTGCTGACTGTGAACGTGCCTAAGAAGCAGCCCTCGGAGCCGCAGAAGGCAGGCGAGCCTAATGTCCGCGATGTGAAGATTCAGTCGACGGAGCAGTAGTTAGCTTGGCTGAAACCCTAAACTACAGCAGAACGGTATATCGAAAATTGGAACATGCTGCGATTGTGCGTAGTTCCCTTGTTGTACATAGCTCCTGTGTATACCGGTAGTTTGTGATGAAAAGTGGTGTGTATAGTTTGTGATGAGAAGCGGTTTTGTGAACATCTTGGCCAGAAATTTTAGAGCGTAACTATGAAGCATCCACTCCACATGATAGTAGCTCGTGAATGTAATAAGACACGCATGGTTTCTGTTACTGGTAGATGCTACACTATTGCCATTGAAATTTGTGGCCTTCTGGTGATTTGAGGGACAGTTATGTGAGGATCGTACTTTTATCGAATCTTGCCTTGCTGGAAGTATTTCCTCCCGCTGGTTCAAGAGCAGCCACCAGTGCGCTTTGCATTGTGGGCGCAACAGCGTGCCTCCGCGATCTACGGTTAACAACAGGTAATCGAAATCGGCCGCAACTAGACACCCTGCACCGGCCAGTAATTACACCCTCTCGATCTGCTCGTCGTTTCTGTACTAGAAGCCCACTGTAGCATTTCCGAGTACGTCCACTTGTGCTTCACTCTATACGAACTGGTTTACTGTAGCCATGTCGACTCGCATGGTTCGTCTTTGGAGCAGCAGCAGCGAGCGGCAAAAAGCTTTGAGGCTGAAGGCGGCTTCCCCCCGCTGGTGGGGGAGCGCGCGGAGGCCGCGGAGAAGGGAGCGGAAGGAGCGGAGAAAGGGGAGAGAGGGGAAGAGGAGGATGAGAGTTTTCGCTGATAGCGGCTGCGCGGAATGCGTTTGACCTTCTCGACATGGATGTACGTGCTGTGTGCTGGGCGGCAACGGGCGACTCGTGTGCGAAAATCTGTGCGACGGTCTGTGCGACAGACGGCCTGTGCGACAGCTTGAGCAACATCTTGAGCCACAGGTTGAGCGACAACTGAAGCGCCAGGTTGCGTGTGGTGTAGAATCCTCCCTTGTCCCCCTCCTCTCCGCCTCTCTGCCACTCGGCCTTTCCGCCTCTCCGTCTGCCTCTCCGTCTCTCCGCCTCTCCGCCTCTCTGCCTCCGCCTCTCCGCCTCTCCGCCTCTCTGCCTCTCCGCCTCTCCGCCGCTCCGCCTCTCTGCCTCTCAACCTCTCCGCCTCTCCGCCTCTCCATCTCGCCAATATCAATCTCGCAAATATCAATAGCGAGGCAATTTCGCAGCACAAGATAAGTGATGCCCCATCTTTGCCAGTATGGCACAGCCGGAGCAAATAACTTGAGTCGTGTTTTGAGTCGACTTAAAGAGGCAGAAACGCAGCACAAGTGATAATACCCTATCTTTGCCAGCATGGCACAGCCGGCGGAGCATATAGCGCAGGATAACTGATGCCCAGCCTGCTTCCTCCTGCGAATAACCAATGCCCAGCCTGCATCCACTTCTCATCCCTCTGAGTTCTGAAACATCATTATCAACCCCTCCCTCTCGTTTGCCATCTTGGCTTAGCAGGAGCAAATATGAAAGATGTGCATCTGAACTGAAAGCAGGAGCTCAGCACAAGATACATGATGAGCATGCAACCAACCTGTTTTCTCTGCTCATCATTCCCTGCCAGCCTGTCGGCGCTGGTGGACAATCAAATCTTCTGTGTGCACGGGGGTTTCTCGCCCATGTCTTGTAATAAAATGGCATTTCCTCAATGTGTATTCCCACTCCTCCCCGCCTCCCACCTGACTCCCCTGCCCCACCCTCCCGTGTTCTTCCCCACCTCCTCCCGTGTTTCTGTGATGCCAGCCTGTCAGCACGGGTGGACAATCGAACCTTCTGTCTGCACTGCACGGGGGTCTCTCGCCCATTCTTTGCAGTATAATGGCATGTCACCTGTGTGCCCCCCACTCTTCCGCACCTGTCCCGCCTGCCCCACCCTCCTTTCTTCTTCCCTCCCTCCTGCCAGCCTGTCAGCACTGGTGGACTATCAAATCTTCTGCGTGCACGGAGGTCTCTCGCCCTCCATCACCTCTCTACACCAGGTAATTGCCTTCTTATAGACGTTAAATTCCCTTCACACAGGGTAACGATTAGCTTTAACCCATTTTTCCCTCTTCACCTGCCCTTGGCATTGGCAGGTGGTAAGTTTCTTGTTTCTACCGTTGTCGTCTGTGGTCAACTATCATGGCTTTTGAGGCGCCTCAAAAGTTGTTTCTGCCGTCGCTGTATGTGGTCAACTATCATGTCCCCTCCCCCTCCACTTATCAGATCCGAGTAACAGCGGAGCCACATGCGATCTGCTCTGGTCGTCGTCATTCATGGTTCGGGAGAGCAGCAGTGCTAGAGAGAACGTTTAGCAAGTAAAGAGAGTTAAAAAACCCTTGCTACGAGAATTCTGAAAGCAAAAAACTGTATTTACTCAAAGAGAACAGATCGCAAACATGTTTCGGCCAAACGGGGGAATCCCGTCAGACCTTCATCAGTGCTTCTGAACACGACGAGATCTACAGCCTGGTATGAGCTAAGTACTAACCCACACCACGAACAGAAATCAAAGTTCCCAACTACCCAGATTGCCTAACAATGGGCATTCGCCAACACAGCACTCGGTAAAAACTCGAGGTTACAAGTGTCAGCCTTCCGTGGTGTCTTCGTCAGGTCTGTCGATAAGCCTTGGAACCTTCGCTCGCACGAGTAAATTTTGCAGGTTACGTGCACACCTCCATGCAATATAAATGTTCCCCATATAAAAACCGCGTGAACTGCGACGATTTTTGAGGCGCCTCAAAAGGACCCCCAGCCTGAGACGAGCTGTCACAGGAGTGAACAGTGTCTTCAAGACCAGGGGGCCGCGTTCAGGGGGGGATGAAAATCGGTGTGCTTGGCGAGCTTCGGTTTGCTCCAGCAGGAGCGGGCGTTGCCTGAAGAGAACACTATGGAAGATGGGTGTGAGAAAGTCAGCAGGGTAACCCCGGTCCCTAAGCCGCTGGAAGAAAGCGCGCTTAGAAGCTAGAAAGGTTGGGGCAGATGTCGAGCGTAAAAGGTACCGCTTCAGTTCAGCCCTTACAAAACCCGTCTGGCAGTGTCGGGGGTGGAATGAAAATAAAGGCAGGTACAGATACCTATTCATTGGTTTCTGAAAAGTTTTCAGATCCAAGGTACCCTGTTCGGCGAAGCGTGGTCCCTTGAAGATGACCAGATCCAGAAAATCAGCCGAACTGTCTGAGATCTGCCACGTGAGCTTGATGTTGGGGTCAAGTGAGTTGAAGGTGTTCAGGTATTCCTCCAGCTCCCCCCTTGATCCGGGCCAGATAATCAACCCATCGTCGATGTAGCGCACGTGGCACAATGGGATCGTCCCAGACCACCTCCTTGTCAGCATCTCGTCCAGCCAGCTCATGAAGAGAACAGCAAAGCAGACAGCCGCAGGAGTTCCCATGGCCGTCCCTTGTGTTTGAAGAAAGATTCGGCTGTCGAACTCCACGTAGGAATTCATCATGACCCACTCCAGCAGGGCCATGACTGGAAGAGCGTTCAAATGTCTCCCTCGATGAAGCAAGCCGCTGATCGCATCGAGTCCACGCCGCAGTGGAATACTGGGGTACAGCGAGATCACATCGTACGTTGCTAGAAGAATCCCTTTCGAGAAGGCAGTTTTCTCTAGCTGAAGCAGCAGCAAGAGGGAGTCGCGTAGGTAAGTCTTCTGTTGAAGAACCAACGGCCGTAGTTCCGCATCCAACCAACGGCTAACATTAGAGGTCACCCATGAATGCGAAGCAGCTATGGGCCGCCCCGCGAGCTTCTTCTTATGCAGTTTCGGAAGAATGTAGAAAGCAGCTGGTCGCCAACCTCCGCGAGGCTTGTCAAAGAAAAATCTCGACAGACTCTCTGGAAAAGCAGGTCCCCACACACTCTTCAGATCACGTAGTTTCTGCACAACTTCGACGGTAGGATTGTGGAAGCACGGAGCGTAGGTAGCCGCGTCGTCGAGATGCTCCAGTTAGAGGCGGGTGTAGGTGCTTCGATCCATCACAGTAATCCCCACGTTCTTATCAGCAGGTTTCACCACCACGTTGCGATCTGTAGCGATGGAGCGCAGCGCCCGTCGTACACCGTTCGAAATGTTTCGGTGGCGGATGGGGCGGGAAGCTTTCAACAGGAAGGACAAGTCAGCCGACGAGTCCCTGAAAACTTGCTCCGGAATGTCGTTCCGCTCGGGCAGCCATCCGGGGTTCCGTACACGAAATCTCTGGTTCCCTTTCAGGCCGTCCGAGTCCTTGAAGAAAAAATGAAGCGAAATCTGACGAAGAAGCGTGTCAAGCTCCACTTCGCCAGAGAGGGAAACGGCAGGCGTTGGAATGAACTTCAGACCCAACCCCAGTCCTTTCTTCTCATCCGAAGATAAGAGTCGAGAGCTGAGATTGTGAACTCCCCGGTTCCGGATCCGTGCTGACACTTGTCGCACTGTCAGCCGTCCGAACCAGCGGAGCGCCAAATCGTGGCTCGTTAGTTCTTGTGCGGCCCTTTTCCGGGGCCGCCTCCGCCGTTTTTTGGTCCCTTGGCCTTCACGTCCGCTGCCTGGCCTTTCGCCTGCTGGTCCTGGGTGCCGTCCTTCTTCTTCTTACCCCCGCGCTTCTTTTTCGGCTTGGAATTCTCGGCCGTACTCCCTGAGTGGCGCTCCTTTTTCATCGGAGTAGTGTGCATCGGCTTTCCGGCTGGGGCATTCTTCGGCTTCGTGTCAGCAGCAGGGGCCTGGGGGGATCCTGTTTTCCCAACGAGAGATTTTTCAGCAGCTTCTTCATCAGATTGGCCTCAATCTTCGGAACCATCTCCCTCCGAATCCTGTCTTCAATCCGCTTCGCATGCTGGTTCATGATCTCTCCAACCCCAGCTTCCACCTCCATTTCCTGCACCTCCTCGGACGCAGCTGCTTTCTTCAACTCTTCAGCGGCAGCCTTGTTCTGTCGATCAATCTCACGGATGATGATCTCATCCCTAGCAGCCTGGATGTCTGAATTGGCCTTTTCGATGCAGCGCCCCTTGAACACACGGTATTTCTCCTTAGCAGCGTCGGTCACCACCAAGTCGGGGTCAGCACTAAGGCTCTTGATGAATTCTTCCATCTTCGAGGCTAGAGTGACGACATGCGAGTCCACCGTCTTCTGAATTTCCTTGATCTCCAGTGCTTTCGAGGCGATAAAATCTGCTTGCAGCCGCTTTTGATTCTTCAGATGAATCTCTGAGACGGATGCTGCTGATTTCTCCTTGACAGAGGCAAACTTCGTCTGGAACTCAACCGCTTTCGTACGGATGCTGTGAAGTATCACGCCTTGACGATCGAGCTCCTTCATCTTCTTGAGTTTGCTTTTCGCCTTAAGCAGGTCCTTGAAGTCGTCGCGGAAACCCTTTACAGCCGACACCGTCCACCCCTTGAAAAGTTCGGGGATTGGAGAATGATCAGCTGGGTCCGACATGACGGGACGATTCCAAGAAGGTCCGGGGAGAGGAGCTTCAGCTTGCTTGTTAGATGTCGAGGGCTCAAGTGTGAGTGCTAAAGGGGGAATCTTAGCACGCGATCCGGATGCTGATCCAGCGTTCCTTCTACCACGTGTTGAACCGCCCTCTCCTCGAGCCCTTTTACCCGAACTGCGTTTCCCTGCACCGGCTTCTCCCTCGTCGGATGGATTCCAATCGAAGTCCCACGGGTCGTCGTCACTCATGGTTCGGGAGAGCCGCAGTGCTAGAGAGAACGTTTAGCAAGTAAAGAAAGAGAGTTTAAAAACCCTTGCTACGAGAATTCTGAAAGCAAAAAACTGTATTTACTAAAAGAGAACAGATCGCAAACATGTTTCGGCCAAACGGGGGAATCCCGTCAGACCTTCATCAGTGCTTCTGAACACGACGAGATCTACAGCCTGGTATGAGCTAAGTACTAACCCACACCGCGAACAGAAATCAAAGTTCCCAACTACCCAGATTGCCTAACAATGGGCATTCGCCAACACAGCACTCGGTAAAAACTCGAGGTTACAAGTGTCAGCCTTCCGTGGTGTCTTCGTCAGGTCTGTCGATAAGCCTTGGAACCTTCGCTCGCACGAGTAACTTTTGCAGGTTACGTGCACACCTCCATGCAATATAAATGTTCCCCATATAAAAACCGCGTGAACTGCGACGATTTTTGAGGCGCCTCAAAAGGACCCCCAGCCTGAGACGAGCTGTCACAGGAGTGAACAGTGTCTTCAAGACCAGGGGGCCGCGTTCAGGGGGGGATGAAAATCGGTGTGCTTGGCGAGCTTCGGTTTGCTCCGGCAGGAGCGGGCGTTGCCTGAAGAGAACACTATGGAAGATGGGTGTGAGAAAGTCAGCAGGGTAACCCCGGTCCCTAAGCCGCTGGAAGAAAGCGCGCTTAGAAGCTAGAAAGGTTGGGGCAGATGTCGAGCGTAAAAGGTACCGCTTCAGTTCAGCCCTTACAAAACCCGTCTGGCAGTGTCGGGGGTGGAATGAAAATAAAGGCAGGTACAGATACCTATTCATTGGTTTCTGAAAAGTTTTCAGATCCAAGGTACCCTGTTCGGCGAAGCGTGGTCCCTTGAAGATGACCAGATCCAGAAAATCAGCCGAACTGTCTGAGATCTGCCACGTGAGCTTGATGTTGGGGTCAAGTGAGTTGAAGGTGTTCAGGTATTCCTCCAGCTCCCCCCTTGATCCGGGCCAGATAATCAACCCATCGTCGATGTAGCGCACGTGGCACAACGGGATCGTCCCAGACCACCTCCTTGTCAGCATCTCGTCCAGCCAGCTCATGAAGAGAACAGCAAAGCAGACAGCCGCAGGAGTTCCCATGGCCGTCCCTTGTGTTTGAAGAAAGATTCGGCTGTCGAACTCCACGTAGGAATTCATCATGACCCACTCCAGCAGGGCCATGACTGGAAGAGCGTTCAAATGTCTCCCTCGATGAAGCAAGCCGCTGATCGCATCGAGTCCACGCCGCAGTGGAATACTGGGGTACAGCGAGATCACATCGTACGTTGCTAGAAGAATCCCTTTCGAGAAGGCAGTTTTCTCTAGCTGAAGCAGCAGCAAGAGGGAGTCGCGTAGGTAAGTCTTCTGTTGAAGAACCAACGGCCGTAGTTCCGCATCCAACCAACGGCTAACATTAGAGGTCACCCATGAATGCGAAGCAGCTATGGGCCGCCCCGCGAGCTTCTTCTTATGCAGTTTCGGAAGAATGTAGAAAGCAGCTGGTCGCCAACCTCCGCGAGGCTTGTCAAAGAAAAAACTCGACAGACTCTCTGGAAAAGCAGGTCCCCACACACTCTTCAGATCACGTAGTTTCTGCACAACTTCGACAGTAGGATTGTGGAAGCACGGAGCGTAGGTAGCCGCGTCGTCGAGATGCTCCAGTTAGAGGCGGGTGTAGGTGCTCCGATCCATCACAGTAATCCCCACGTTCTTATCAGCAGGTTTCACCACCACGTTGCGATCTGTAGCGATGGAGCGCAGCGCCCGTCGTACACCGTTCGAAATGTTTCGGTGGCGGATGGGGCGGGAAGCTTTCAACAGGAAGGACAAGTCAGCCGACGAGTCCCTGAAAACTTGCTCCGGAATGTCGTTCCGCTCGGGCAGCCATCCGGGGTTCCGTACACGAAATCTCTGGTTCCCTTTCAGGCCGTCCGAGTCCTTGAAGAAAAAATGAAGCGAAATCTGACGAAGAAGCGTGTCAAGCTCCACTTCGCCAGAGAGGGAAACGGCAGGCGTTGGAATGAACTTCAGACCCAACCCCAGTCCTTTCTTCTCATCCGAAGATAAGAGTCGAGAGCTGAGATTGTGAACTCCCCGGTTCCGGATCCGTGCTGACACTTGTCGCACTGTCAGCCGTCCGAACCAGCGGAGCGCCAAATCGTGGCTCGTTAGTTCTTGTGCGGCCCTTTTCCGGGGCCGCCTCCGCCGTTTTTTGGTCCCTTGGCCTTCACGTCCGCTGCCTGGCCTTTCGCCTGCTGGTCCTGGGTGCCGTCCTTCTTCTTCTTACCCCCGCGCTTCTTTTTCGGCTTGGAATTCCCGGCCGTACTCCCTGAGTGGTGCTCCTTTTTCATCGGAGTAGTGTGCATCGGCTTTCCGGCTGGGGCATTCTTCGGCTTCGTGTCAGCAGCAGGGGCCTGGGGGGATCCTGTTTTCCCAACGAGAGATTTTTCAGCAGCTTCTTCATCAGATTGGCCTCAATCTTCGGAACCATCTCCCTCCGAATCCTGTCTTCAATCCGCTTCGCATGCTGGTTCATGATCTCTCCAACCCCAGCTTCCACCTCCATTTCCTGCACCTCCTCGGACGCAGCTGCTTTCTTCAACTCTTCAGCGGCAGCCTTGTTCTGTCGATCAATCTCACGGATGATGATCTCATCCCTAGCAGCCTGGATGTCTGAATTGGCCTTTTCGATGCAGCGCCCCTTGAACACACGGTATTTCTCCTTAGCAGCGTCGGTCACCACCAAGTCGGGGTCAGCACTAAGGCTCTTGATGAATTCTTCCATCTTCGAGGCTAGAGTGACGACATGCGAGTCCACCGTCTTCTGAATTTCCTTGATCTCCAGTGCTTTCGAGGCGATAAAATCTGCTTGCAGCCGCTTTTGATTCTTCAGATGAATCTCTGAGACGGATGCTGCTGATTTCTCCTTGACAGAGGCAAACTTCGTCTGGAACTCAACCGCTTTCGTACGGATGCTGTGAAGTATCACGCCTTGACGATCGAGCTCCTTCATCTTCTTGAGTTTGCTTTTCGCCTTAAGCAGGTCCTTGAAGTCGTCGCGGAAACCCTTTACAGCCGACGCCGTCCACCCCTTGAAAAGTTCGGGGATTGGAGAATGATCAGCTGGGTCCGACATGACGGGACGATTCCAAGAAGGTCCGGGGAGAGGAGCTTCAGCTTGCTTGTTAGATGTCGAGGGCTCAAGTGTGAGTGCTAAAGGGGGAATCTTAGCACGCGATCCGGATGCTGATCCAGCGTTCCTTCTACCACGTGTTGAACCGCCCTCTCCTCGAGCCCTTTCACCCGAACTGCGTTTCCCTGCACCGGCTTCTCCCTCGTCGGATGGATTCCAATCGAAGTCCCACGGGTCGTCGTCACTCATGGTTCGGGAGAGCCGCAGTGCTAGAGAGAACGTTTAGCAAGTAAAGAAAGAGAGTTTAAAAACCCTTGCTACGAGAATTCTGAAAGCAAAAAACTGTATTTACTAAAAGAGAACAGATCGCAAACATGTTTCGGCCAAACGGGGGAATCCCGTCAGACCTTCATCAGTGCTTCTGAACACGACGAGATCTACAGCCTGGTATGAGCTAAGTACTAACCCACACCGCGAACAGAAATCAAAGTTCCCAACTACCCAAATTGCCTAACAATGGGCATTCGCCAACACAGCACTCGGTAAAAACTCGAGGTTACAAGTGTCAGCCTTCTGTGGTGTCTTCGTCAGGTCTGTCGATAAGCCTTGGAACCTTCGCTCGCACGAGTAACTTTTGCAGGTTACGTGCACACCTCCATGCAATATAAATGTTCCCCATATAAAAACCGCGTGAACTGCGACGATTTTTGAGGCGCCTCAAAAGGACCCCCAGCCTGAGACGAGCTGTCACAGGAGTGAACAGTGTCTTCAAGACCAGGGGGCCGCGTTCAGGGGGGGATGAAAATCGGTGTGCTTAGCGAGCTTCGGTTTGCTCCAGCAGGAGCGGGCGTTGCCTGAAGAGAACACTATGGAAGATGGGTGTGAGAAAGTCAGCAGGGTAACCCCGGTCCCTAAGCCGCTGGAAGAAAGCGCGCTTAGAAGCTAGAAAGGTTGGGGCAGATGTCGAGCGTAAAAGGTACCGCTTCAGTTCAGCCCTTACAAAACCCGTCTGGCAGTGTCGGGGGTGGAATGAAAATAAAGGCAGGTACAGATACCTATTCATTGGTTTCTGAAAAGTTTTCAGATCCAAGGTACCCTGTTCGGCGAAGCGTGGTCCCTTGAAGATGACCAGATCCAGAAAATCAGCCGAACTGTCTGAGATCTGCCACGTGAGCTTGATGTTGGGGTCAAGTGAGTTGAAGGTGTTCAGGTATTCCTCCAGCTCCCCCCTTGATCCGGGCCAGATAATCAACCCATCGTCGATGTAGCGCACGTGGCACAACGGGATCGTCCCAGACCACCTCCTTGTCAGCATCTCGTCCAGCCAGCTCATGAAGAGAACAGCAAAGCAGACAGCCGCAGGAGTTCCCATGGCCGTCCCTTGTGTTTGAAGAAAGATTCGGCTGTCGAACTCCACGTAGGAATTCATCATGACCCACTCCAGCAGGGCCATGACTGGAAGAGCGTTCAAATGTCTCCCTCGATGAAGCAAGCCGCTGATCGCATCGAGTCCACGCCGCAGTGGAATACTGGGGTACAGCGAGATCACATCGTACGTTGCTAGAAGAATCCCTTTCGAGAAGGCAGTTTTCTCTAGCTGAAGCAGCAGCAAGAGGGAGTCGCGTAGGTAAGTCTTCTGTTGAAGAACCAACGGCCGTAGTTCCGCATCCAACCAACGGCTAACATTAGAGGTCACCCATGAATGCGAAGCAGCTATGGGCCGCCCCGCGAGCTTCTTCTTATGCAGTTTCGGAAGAATGTAGAAAGCAGCTGGTCGCCAACCTCCGCGAGGCTTGTCAAAGAAAAATCTCGACAGACTCTCTGGAAAAGCAGGTCCCCACACACTCTTCAGATCACGTAGTTTCTGCACAACTTCGACGGTAGGATTGTGGAAGCACGGAGCGTAGGTAGCCGCGTCGTCGAGATGCTCCAGTTAGAGGCGGGTGTAGGTGCTTCGATCCATCACAGTAATCCCCACGTTCTTATCAGCAGGTTTCACCACCACGTTGCGATCTGTAGCGATGGAGCGCAGCGCCCGTCGTACACCGTTCGAAATGTTTCGGTGGCGGATGGGGCGGGAAGCTTTCAACAGGAAGGACAAGTCAGCCGACGAGTCCCTGAAAACTTGCTCCGGAATGTCGTTCCGCTCGGGCAGCCATCCGGGGTTCCGTACACGAAATCTCTGGTTCCCTTTCAGGCCGTCCGAGTCCTTGAAGAAAAAATGAAGCGAAATCTGACGAAGAAGCGTGTCAAGCTCCACTTCGCCAGAGAGGGAAACGGCAGGCGTTGGAATGAACTTCAGACCCAACCCCAGTCCTTTCTTCTCATCCGAAGATAAGAGTCGAGAGCTGAGATTGTGAACTCCCCGGTTCCGGATCCGTGCTGACACTTGTCGCACTGTCAGCCGTCCGAACCAGCGGAGCGCCAAATCGTGGCTCGTTAGTTCTTGTGCGGCCCTTTTCCGGGGCCGCCTCCGCCGTTTTTTGGTCCCTTGGCCTTCACGTCCGCTGCCTGGCCTTTCGCCTGCTGGTCCTGGGTGCCGTCCTTCTTCTTCTTACCCCCGCGCTTCTTTTTCGGCTTGGAATTCTCGGCCGTACTCCCTGAGTGGCGCTCCTTTTTCATCGGAGTAGTGTGCATCGGCTTTCCGGCTGGGGCATTCTTCGGCTTCGTGTCAGCAGCAGGGGCCTGGGGGGATCCTGTTTTCCCAACGAGAGATTTTTCAGCAGCTTCTTCATCAGATTGGCCTCAATCTTCGGAACCATCTCCCTCCGAATCCTGTCTTCAATCCGCTTCGCATGCTGGTTCATGATCTCTCCAACCCCAGCTTCCACCTCCATTTCCTGCACCTCCTCGGACGCAGCTGCTTTCTTCAACTCTTCAGCGGCAGCCTTGTTCTGTCGATCAATCTCACGGATGATGATCTCATCCCTAGCAGCCTGGATGTCTGAATTGGCCTTTTCGATGCAGCGCCCCTTGAACACACGGTATTTCTCCTTAGCAGCGTCGGTCACCACCAAGTCGGGGTCAGCACTAAGGCTCTTGATGAATTCTTCCATCTTCGAGGCTAGAGTGACGACATGCGAGTCCACCGTCTTCTGAATTTCCTTGATCTCCAGTGCTTTCGAGGCGATAAAATCTGCTTGCAGCCGCTTTTGATTCTTCAGATGAATCTCTGAGACGGATGCTGCTGATTTCTCCTTGACAGAGGCAAACTTCGTCTGGAACTCAACCGCTTTCGTACGGATGCTGTGAAGTATCACGCCTTGACGATCGAGCTCCTTCATCTTCTTGAGTTTGCTTTTCGCCTTAAGCAGGTCCTTGAAGTCGTCGCGGAAACCCTTTACAGCCGACGCCGTCCACCCCTTGAAAAGTTCGGGGATTGGAGAATGATCAGCTGGGTCCGACATGACGGGACGATTCCAAGAAGGTCCGGGGAGAGGAGCTTCAGCTTGCTTGTTAGATGTCGAGGGCTCAAGTGTGAGTGCTAAAGGGGGAATCTTAGCACGCGATCCGGATGCTGATCCAGCGTTCCTTCTACCACGTGTTGAACCGCCCTCTCCTCGAGCCCTTTTACCCGAACTGCGTTTCCCTGCACCGGCTTCTCCCTCGTCGGATGGATTCCAATCGAAGTCCCACGGGTCGTCGTCACTCATGGTTCGGGAGAGCCGCAGTGCTAGAGAGAACGTTTAGCAAGTAAAGAAAGAGAGTTTAAAAACCCTTGCTACGAGAATTCTGAAAGCAAAAAACTGTATTTACTAAAAGAGAACAGATCGCAAACATGTTTCGGCCAAACGGGGGAATCCCGTCAGACCTTCATCAGTGCTTCTGAACACGACGAGATCTACAGCCTGGTATGAGCTAAGTACTAACCCACACCGCGAACAGAAATCAAAGTTCCCAACTACCCAGATTGCCTAACAATGGGCATTCGCCAACACAGCACTCGGTAAAAACTCGAGGTTACAAGTGTCAGCCTTCCGTGGTGTCTTCGTCAGGTCTGTCGATAAGCCTTGGAACCTTCGCTCGCACGAGTAACTTTTGCAGGTTACGTGCACACCTCCATGCAATATAAATGTTCCCCATATAAAAACCGCGTGAACTGAGACGATTTTTGAGGCACCTCAAAGATCCGAGTAACAGCGGAGCCACATGCGATCTGCTCTGGTCCGACCCTAAAGAAGGGGGTGCAAGAGAGAGGTGCCTCTGCCGTCGTTGTCTGTGGTCAACTATCATGTCCCCTCCCCCTCCACTTGGTCTTATCAGATCCTAGTAACAGTGGAGCCACATGCGATCTGCTCTGGTCCGACCCTAAAGAAGGGGGTGCAAGAGAGAGGTGCCTCTGCCGTCGTCGTCTGTGGTCAACTATCATGTCCCCTCCCCCTCCACTTGGTCTTATCAGATCCTAGTAACAGTGGAGCCACATGCGATCTGCTCTGGTCCGACCCTAAAGAAGGGGGTGCAAGAGAGAGGTGCCTCTCGACTGAACAGCATGTGCGATCTGCTCTGATCCGACGTAGGGGAGATTGAATCGACGGCTGGGGATGGCGATGCCATCTGTTGTAAACTGGTGCTTCTACTCCGTCTCCCTTGTCTCTCCGCTTGCTCGTTTCAGATCTGAGCAGTCGACTAAAAGCAAGAGATGCCTCACCACAGGGTTATGTGTGATCTGCTGCGGTCCAATCCAGAGGAAATCGAGTTGACGGCTGGGTGGGATGGCATCTTTTGTCAGTTGTTGGTGCCTTCCCCCCTCCTTCCCCTCTTTCTTTGCTCTCGGCAGATCCGAGCGATAGACAGAAAGCAAGAGCTGCCTGACCCCATCCCTCCCCTTTCTCTCAGCCGTTCCTCTCTTCCTTCTTCTTTTCTGCTGTTGCTGCTTGGCAGATCTGAGCGATCGACAGAAAGCAGGAGGTGCCTCACGACAGGGCCATGTGCGATCTGCTCTGGTCCGATCCAGAGGAGATCGGCGGCTGGGGGCTGAGATGGCATCTGCTGTCAATTGTTGACGCCTTCTGCCTTCTCTCTTCTCCATTCCCTCTGTCTGCTTACTCCTTTTTGTTTCAGATTCGAGTAATTGACCACCAGCAAGAGGTGCCTCATGATGGGGCCATGTGCGATCTGCATTGGTCCGATTCAGAGGAGATTGATCCAATGGCTTCGATGCCAACTGTTGACACCGCACCCTTCCTCTCTCCCTTCCCGTTCGCTCCCTGCTTTCGCTCGGCAGATCCGAGTGATCGACAGAAAGCAAGAGGTGCCTCACGACGGGGCCATGTGCGATCTGCTCTGGTCCGACCCAGAGGAGATCGACGGATGGGGTTTGAGCCCTCGCGGTGCGGGTTACCTGTTTGGCGGTGACGTGGTAACCAGCTTCAACCACAACAACAATGTGGATGTGATAGCGAGGGCGCACCAGCTGGTGATGGAGGGGTACAAGTGGATGTTCAACCAGCAGCTCGTTACTGTCTGGTCCGCCCCCAACTACTGCTACCGGTGCGTGGGGTGCATTGCGGTGCTGTGTGGTTTTGTGTGGTGTAGTTTGGTGTTGTATGGTGATGTGCGGTGCCGTGCACTGTGATTGCAAGGGCGCACCAGCTGGTGATGGAGGGGTACAAGTGGATGTTCAACCAGCAGCTCGTCACCGTCTGGTCCGCCCCCAACTACTGCTACCGGTGGGTGGGGGTGTGTGGGTGGGTGCTGTGTGGTGCTGTGCGGTGCTGTGGGGCATGCGTACGTGCACCAGCTGGTGATGGAGGGGTACAAGTGGATGTTCAACCAGCAGCTCATCACTGTGTGGTCCGCCCCCAACTACTGCTTCCGGTGTGTGGGGTGTGCGGATGGGTGCTGTGTGGTGCTGTGCAGTGCAGTGGGGCATGCGTGCATAAGCTGGTGATGGAGGGGTACTAGTGGGATGTTCAACCAACAACTTGCCACCATCTGGTCCGCTCTGAACTACTGCTACCGGTGAGTGGGTGGTGGTGTGCGGTGATGTGCATTGCTGTGCTGTGTGGTGCTGTGTGTGCGGTGATGTGCGGTGCTGTGTGATGCTGTGCAGTGTTCTGAGGTGCTGTAAGGTGCAGTTCGGTGGTGTTCAGTGCATTGTGTTGTTGTGTGATGCAGTGTGGTGCTGTGCAATGCTGTGCCTGCTGTAGGGCACCTGAAACCATTGTGGATCTGATTGCGTGGGCGCACCAGCTGGTGATGGCATGCAATGGTATAAGCATCTCTGCAAATCTATCCAAGAGACGTGCAAATTTGAGAATACTCAAAGGCACTTACCCTCTCCTATCCCCTGCTCACCCTCTTTTGTCTCCCCTGCAGGTGTGGCAACGTGGCAGCTATTCTTGAGCTGAATGAGAATCTGGAGAAGAAATTCCGTGTTTTTGAGGCAGCACCGCAGGTGAGCAGAGTAGAGGGGTGATTATCAGTGACTGTTCTTCACTTGAATGAGAATTGGGAAAAGGCATTCCGTGTGTTTAAGGCAGCACCGCATGTGAGGGAGGGGTGATTCTCTTGTCTTAAGCAGGGTGTATGGAGAGCTCTTCTAGGTGGCCTGTTCCTGATTGCATCAATGAATGTTATGCTGGAACAAATGCATGCACTCATTCACTCTCACCTCCTTTGCCTACTCGCGCTGCATGTTTTCCTGTCTTGAGCAGGATGCTAGAGGAGCTCCTTCCAGACGGCCTGCTCCTGATTATTTCCTCTGAAGATGCCTTCGTACCTGCCATGTGCTAGCTCCTTCAATGCTATGCTCTTTAATTCTTTCCTAGGAGCAGGCGTCGCAAATATGTGTATGCCTTCGTGTCTCGTCCATTTTCGTATGTGTGATGTGAACTGTAAGTTTCTTTTTAAATATAAAAATAAATAGCATGGTCTGTGTGTCATCAAATGATAGGCCGCAAAGCTAATGTTATCTCCATCCGTCACTGCTTGTTCTTGTTAGGAAATCCAACTTCCTTACTGTAGAATTCGCCTAGCGGGCATGTTCGTAGCAGGTCGCGTCAGCTGGGTTCGGCCTTACACTTTCGGCCCGAACCATCCCGAGTCGCCCCCGCACCAATCGCCACCTTCCCAAACCTCGTCTACGCCGATGTCTTCGTCTAGCTAGGAAACCCCCTATATTTGCCGTCACTCTCATTGTATGGCCGGTCTTCCGTAATCACAGTCTCATTATAACGTATTCCGTGCACTCTGTTAGTTCAACTCTTGTGGAAGGCCTGCTGGAGGCGCAGCCCAAAAAGTTACTGTGCTTTAAAACTTTCTGTTCCAGCAAGGTTTCACGGAAATAAATGGCACGGCTGCTGCATAGCTTGCGCTCATGAAAGGAATGGATGCGGAGGGCAGCAGCAACTGCAGAGCGGAGGGCAGCAGCAGCTGCAGAGCGGAGGGCAGCATGAGCTGCAGGGCGGAGGGCAGCAGCCCAATCAGAGCGGAGGGCAGCAGCAGCTGCAGAGCGGAGGGCAGCAGCAGCTGCAGAGTGGAGGGCAGCAGCCCAATCAGAGTGGTGGGCAGCAGCAGCTGCAGAGCGGAGGGCAGCAGGAGCTGCAGAGCGGAGGGCAGCAGCAGCTGCAGAGCGGAGGGCAGCAGCCCAATCAGAGCGGAGGGCAGCAGCAGCTGCAGAGCGGAGGGCAGCAGCCCAATCAGAGCGGAGGGCGGCAGAAACTGCAGAGCGGAGGGCAGCATGAGCTGCAGGGCGGAGGGCAGCAGCAGCTGCAGAGTGGGGGGCAGCAGCAACTGCTGCAGAGCGGAGGGCAGCATGAGCTGCAGGGCGGAGGGCAGCAGCAGCTGCAGAGTGGGGGGCAGCAGCAACTGCTGCAGAGCGGAGGGCAGCAGGAGCTGCAGAGCGGAGGGCAGCAGCAGCTGCAGAGCGGAGGGCAGCAGCAACTGCTGCAGAGCGGAGGGCAGCATGAGCTGCAGGGCGGAGGGCAGCATGAGCTGCAGGGCGGAGGGCAGCAGCAGCTGCAGAGCGGAGGGCAGCAGCAACTGCAGAGCGGAGGGCAGCAGCAGCTGCAGAGCGGAGGGCAGCAGCAGCTGCAGAGCGGAGGGCAGCAGCAGCTGCAGAGCGGAGGGCAGCAGGAGCTGCAGAGCGGAGGGCAGCAGCAGCTGCAGAGCGGAGGGCAGCAGCCCAATCAGAGCGGAGGGCAGCAGCAGCTGCAGAGCGGAGGGCAGCAGCCCAATCAGAGCGGAGGGCAGCAGCAACTGCAGAGCGGAGGGCAGCAGCAGCTGCAGAGCGGAGGGCAGCATGAGCTGCAGGGCGGAGGGCAGCAGCCCAATCAGAGCGGAGGGCAGCAGCAGCTGCAGAGCGGAGGGCAGCAGCAGCTGCAGAGTGGAGGGCAGCAGCCCAATCAGAGCGGAGGGCAGCAGCAGCTGCAGAGCGGAGGGCAGCAGCAGCTGCAGAGCGGAGGGCAGCAGCAGCTGCAGAGTGGAGGGCAGCAGCCCAATCAGAGCGGAGGGCAGCAGCAGCTGCAGAGCGGAGGGCAGCAGCGGCTGCAGAGTGGGGGGCAGCTGCAGCTGCAGTGCGGAGGGCAGCAGCAGCTGCAGAGCGGAGGGCAGCAACAGCTGCAGAGCGGAGGGCAGCAGGAGCTGCCCGATGGGGTGCAGCTTGCGAGGCTGCCAGAGGGGGAGATGGAGATGGAGTCGAGCAGACAGGTCTTGCCGGCGTGTTCGAGTGGAGAGGAGCACCCAGACCCTATGCTGACACCCCCGCCCCGCATCCCGTGCGAAACCTGTTATCGCACTTTCACGGAGAGAGGAAAGGCCACGCGTCATATGTCGGCCTGCAGGGCAGCGGACGCCAAGCGCCGTGCACAGGCGCTTGGGTTGACCCGCGACGTCACAGACGACTCGGACAGCGAACCTCCGCCACCACGGGATATCAGTGAAGAGGTGTGGGCCGCAGTTCCCACATGGGACTGGGAGTCGTTTTTCGGGATCGAATTGGTGCCAGGGAGAATCATGCGTCGCATCCCACAGCGCGCAAGACTGGGGGTGCTTGATGCACTAGCTTGTATCCTGAAGCGGCTCAAGTCAAAGGCAGCAGACGAGGCGGCATCCTTGGTGTTTTTGGCCTTCCCTCGTCTTTTCTTGGGGATTCCAACCGGGCAAGGCCAGGGGCAGAGGGCGGCAATTAGGGAGCGGTTGGAGAAGTTTTGGGCTGGGGAGTGGCAGCAGCTGTTTGAGTTGGCGGTGGCGGCGATGCAACCTGCGGCTCGCCCCTTGTCCTTCACCCCACCCGAGCATGATCCTGATGCCGTGCGCCTATCCCGCTGCCGTACAAGGTGCAAAGTGGGAGAATGGAGTCGGGGTTTGGCGTGCCTTACGGCTGGTAGCATCGCTCAGCCCTCTCAGCACATGGTGGACGCGCTACGAGCGAAACACCCATCGTGCGAGTCCGCCATTCCTGGGTGGGTGCAGGAGGAGACAGTCGAGCCTTCCCTTATCCCACAGCTTTCAGTGGAGGTACTCGGCCAGGCGATCCACTCAGCGGCTAGGGCGTCCGCACCAGGACCGTCGGGGTGGGTGACGGAGCACCTGCGCGACACTTTTCTCTCTGAGCCCGCGTATCTGTCCCACCTGCTAGAGGTCTTCACCCAGTGGACCAAGGGAGAGGTAGCGGAGCGCGTGCGACCCTGGCTCACTGCGTCCAACTTGGTGGGCCTGTCGAAGCCGAATGGTGACGTTCGCCCGGTGGCTATAGGCGAGGTGCTCCCCCGCATACTATCTCGGGCCATATGCATCGTGCTTCGCCCGAAGATGATGTCGCACTTTGCTCCGTGTAACCAGTTTGGAGTCGGGTCCAGGTCGGGAGTGGAAGTCCTCGCACATGCCTTTCGCTCCGCCATCTCTACTCACCCGTCGTGGTGTGCGCTGCAAATTGACGTGGCGAACGCTTTCAACTCCTTCCATCGGCGGGAAATGTTTGAGGGTCTTCGACAGTCGCCTTTCAAGGGATTGATTCCATTTCTGCGTGTCTTCTATGGCACTCCTAGCGACCTCTATCTCCGAGCGGGCCCTTTTGTCGAAGCTTTGGCTTCCGAGCGGGGCTCGAGGCAAGGGGATCCATTGGGTCCGTTTCTGTTCGCGTTCACACAGCAGCTGGTTATGGAACCAACCAAAACGGAGTACGCCGACTTACTCTTCCTCAGCTATGCTGACGATACGTATATCCTGGGGCCTAGGGAACGGGTTCTAGCAGCCTATGAGGCCTTGCGGGAACGACTGGACGGGCTGGGTTTGGAGGTGCAGCCGCATAAGTGTAAGCTATGGGAGCGAGGGAGGGACCAGGATGGGGAGGAGAGAAATGAGACTGTCCCGCCCGGCATGCAGCAGACATGGACGGGGCTCACTGTGGTAGGGGTGCCCATTGGGGAGGAGGACTGGGAGGTGGCTAGCCTGCGTCGCCGGCTGACGGAGCTGCATGCACCTGTCCCCTGGCTTCCTCTGCTTGACCACCCACAGATTGCGTCCCATTTGTTGGCGATCGCAGTGTCGGCGCGCCCGATCTACCTCACACGGACGATGCCTCCACGACCTGAGGTTGTGGAGGCTTTTCGGGACTGGGACACGAAGCTGGAAGATTGTTTCGAGGAGCTGTTTCCAGATAGTACCTGGGATCACGATTCGGGGAAGTCCCAGATGGCTCGTTTACAGCTGCACCTTCCTGCCAGACTCGGGGGGTTCGGCATTCGATCTGCGTATGCATGTGGCTGGTGCCAAGCAGTGAGCGATGTGGCTCGGTTGGGGGTGGCAGGTGAGGAGCGGATGTTTGAGGAGTTTTTCCGCACGCCCGAGGCTACGACCTTGTTGGACCCCTGGTTTGCGAGAGCAGTGGATCTGCTTCCACAGTCGGTTCGGCAGGAGATGCCACCCCTTGCCTTGTGCACCGCTGATCCGCCTATGCTGCTCTTCCCCACACAACACCGTCGCCTGGCGGTTGAGAGCCTCCAATCTCTTCGAGGCATGGCCCACAACGATGCCACCCTGGCCCGTTTGACATCCCTTCAGGGCCCGGGGGCTGGGGCGTGGGTTTCTGCCGTTCCTTCGCACGAGGAGGCTACCTTCACCGCAGCCGAGTGGAGCATCTGCGCGTCCATGCGCCTAGGCCTCCCTATTCAGCAGCTGATAGTGGCCGGCAAGTGCGCGTGTGGGTTTGAGTTTGCTGATCCCTCTGACCCGCATCATGCCCTTCGCTGCAAGTATCAGTATGCACCTTCTCGGGTTCACGATGCGGTTAAATTTGTGGTGGCGAAGATAGCTAAGGGTGCGGGTGGGATTGTGACCATGGAAGACGACACGTTGCTCCCAGGGAAGAGGGTTGATGTGGCGGTTCGGAAACTGAGGGAGGGGGAGGAGCACGCGCTGGAGGTTAGTGTGGTAGATCCTATCTCGCTATCCGCGCAGCACCATGGACAGATTGGTCGCAAGGTGGGTTTTGCCGCGAGAGAGAGAGAAAAGCGGAAGACGGCGGACTACAAATCGCTTCTACAGCGGCATGGGGGAGTGCAGTTCACACCACTCATTGCTGAGACATGGGGATGCTTGGGGGGGAGTTTTGGACGGTGGCTTAAGAAGCAGGGTGACGCGCAGATCGAGATAGCAAAGACGAAAGGGGCGGCGCGAGCTACGGGAAAGGGTTTCTCGGCTTATTTGCTCGGATCGCTCAAAGCGGCTGTGGGTGTGGCTTTGCAACGGGCTCAGGCGCGTGTGATCTTGTTACGCGCTGCGTCGATGATGAGAGGCCCAGAGGCTGTTTGGGTGGAGCGGGAGGATGTTGAGGAGGAGATGGGATGGGATGCTCCGTGGGCGGATGCACCATACTTGGTAGACATGCGGGTTTAGGGAGTGGGTTTAGGGGGGGAGGTTTGGTTCGATGGGAGTGCAGTTGGGGTGCTTTGATGGGAGGGCTTGATGGTGTTTTAAATGTGTGTGCTATTGGGGTTTTCTTGGGGTTGTGTGTGCTACTTTTTCTTCCTTCTTCCCTGTTTTTCTTCCTCCTATCATTTTTCCCCTATTCCCCTCCTCCTTTCTTCCTCTCTCCTTTTTTCTACTCACGTTATTCCTCCTTTTCTCCTCTCTTCCCGTTTCCACTCCTTTTCCTTGCGTAATTATGCTACATTGTAACAGATAGTACCTCGATTGCTATTCAAGAATTCGAAAAAAAAAAAAAAAAAAAAAAAAAAAAAAAGAGGAATGGATGCCGTCGACTCGAACGCAGATGAGCACGCAGTTGTTGAATGCAGTCAGCCGCGATGCCGCTTGACGTATAGAGCATTGTCGTTTGGCGGCTAGAGCGAGCAACGTCGCATGACAGTTCGAGCAATATCGTCGCCTCACATCGCGAAACTGGATTTCACGCTGGTCCGTCCCATCTAGTAACGATACAATTAGAGTCTAATTCCTACGTATCCGTGTCGCATCATCTTTTCCTGGAGTTGTATCGAAACGCGTAACACACCTTTCTGGTATCGCTTCGCAGACGCATTGCCTCTGTACCGAGGACTCTGTAGTAGGAACCAATCACGCGGCATCGCTCGCACACCAGGAGAGGAAGGATATCGTTAGAGACTGACCCGTTACCCTTATGGAGGCTCGATGTCGCATCTATCGTAAAATGGAGCTGACGTTTTGGCTTTCGACCCCGTCCGTATTTTTGGTAGTAGTGCTGCTGGCGCTTTCGGCACCGCATTGGCGCGTCGGCGCCTCTGCAGGAGCGGCAGTCCCAGCAGCAGCAACAGGTTTCGGATCAGGAGCAGCAGCAGCAGGATTGACTGGGTCAGCAGGGTCAACAGAGTCAACAGGGTCAACACCACCAGGGACAGAGTCAATAGGGTCAACAACAGGGACAGGGTCAAGCGGGTCAACAGAGTCAATGACTGGGTCAGGGTCTACAATGTCAAGAGAGATTGGAGGAACGGCATCAGGTGGAGTTAGTGGTACAGTGCCAGCATCAGCATCAGCATCAGCATCAGCAGCATCATCCATCATTGCCATCATCACCAGCTGTATCACCACCATCAGCACCATCAGCAGCACCATTGGCACCATCAGCACTATCATCACCAGAATTATCACCACCATCGCTAGAAGCACCACCCTCGCCAGCGTCATCAGCATCCTCTGCATTATCAGCACCATCACCATCAGCACCAGCATCAATATCAGCATCAACATTAACAACATTGTCACCATCACCACCACCATCACCATCACCATCACCATCATCACCATCATCACCATCATCACCATCATCACCATCATCAGCACCATCAGCACCATCAGCACCATCAGCACCAGTAACACCATCACCATCATCAGCACCATCACCAGTTGCTGCGTCTGTTGCCGAGCCTCAGCTTCCAGCCGCTGAACCGTCTGCTGAGCCTTCCCTCCCTGCTCCCAAGCATGTTGCCAAACCCCCTGCCAAGCCTGTTGCCGAACCTTCTCTTCCACCAACTCCCGAGCCTGTTGCTGAGCCATCCCTGCTCGCACCACTATCTTCACCTGCCGAACCATCCCTTCCTGCCCTAGCACCTGCTTCTGAACCATCTGCCGCACCACCCTCCGAACCACCGGAACCTCCTTCCGAGCCTCCGTCCGAAGCACCATCGTCTGGTTCGGAAGAAGGCGAGGAGCCGCTGCCAGCTATCCCCGAGCCTAGCTCCCTGGTGTGCCAGCTGTCGGACTATACGAGAGTATCCGGCCCCTGTCAAGGTGAGTTGAGGCTCAATCAAGTGTATTTGTGCAAAGTTAAGTGAAGCCTCGAGTCGAGATCATTTTGCTTCTGAGCCTAGCTCGCTGGTAGGGGCCGGATAGACACATTCGCAGCTGTCGGAGTATGCCGTGTCTAACCGGCCCCTGCCAATGTGAGTTCAGGTGTAAGAAGAGCGTTCTGTTGTATCCTAGGTGAGTGAAGCCTCGAGACGAGATAATTTTGTTCCCGAGCCTAGCTCGCTGGTGTGGCAACTGTTAGACTTGCCAGAGTAACTACCCGGTGTCGAAACCGGCCCCTGCCAAGGTGAGTAAAGGTTCAAGAAAAGCATTCTGTGTGTCGATGTCAAGGCGAGAGAGGGTTCCGGTTAGGTGTTCAGTGCGTCCCTGCTAATCTGAGGTTCGTCCCCGCCAGTGTGAGGTCCCCGCCAGTGAAGGGGCCACCTCTGCTCCCACCACCTCTGCTCCCACCACCTCTGCTCCCACCACCTCTGCTCCCACCACCTCTGCTCCCACCACCTCAGCAGGTGGCAATCGGCACATTTTCTTCAACGAGACCCGCAATGGCAATCAGTGCAGGTGGCAAATGCACCGACTGGTCCACTTCTATTTGGACCACTGATATTCCTCCCACCCAGCTGCTTCTTCCTCGTTGCCACTTTCCTCTCCCATACTGTGTGTCTCTTTCCCCGTCCCACCACCTATGCAGGTGGCACGCGCCACATTTTCTTCAACAAGGCTCGCAACTGCATCGACCCATTTCAGCTGAACCTCTCGCCTCGACCGAACCCTGCGGTGAGTTGCTCTGGCACATGGGGGACGAGTTGATTGCAGCTGAGCTACTCTGGCATGCACACACATGGGATGAGTTGCACTTGAGCCGCCTCCAAAGTCAACTGCACCGACCGCTTTCAGCTCAAGCTGGACCTCTCACCTCGACCCGAACTCTGCGATGATCTGTTCGGCCGTGAGGCTGCGATGACCTGTTCGGCCGTGAGGCTGCGATGACCTGTTCGGCCGTGAGGCTGCGATGACCTGTTCGGCCGTGAGGCTGCGATGACCTGTTCGGCCGTGAGGCTGCGATGACCTGTTCGGCCGTGAGGCTGCGATGACCTGTTCGGCCGTGAGGCTGCGATGACCTGTTCGGCCGTGAGGCTGCGATGACCTGTTCGGCCGTGAGGCTGCGATGACCTGTTCGGCCGTGAGGCTGCGATGACCTGTTCGGCCGTGAGGCTGCGATGACCTGTTCGGCCGTGAGGCTGCGATGACCTGTTCGGCCGTGAGGCTGCGATGACCTGTTCGGCCGTGAGGCTGCGATGACCTGTTCGGCCGTGAGGCTGCGATGACCTGTTCGGCCGTGAGGCTGCGATGACCTGTTCGGCCGTGGTCTTAGGGATGAGGGGACGGTGGTATCAGCTTGTCTGAACATGTATTCTAAACCCAAACCAAGCTGAATTGATACCGTGGCATCGACCGTGCAGCAGGCTGCACACCAAGGGACTGCAAGAGCGAATACTCCAAAGGGTCCCTTTGGAGTATTCGCGCTTGTAGTCGCAATGTCCTGGTCGCCCGTGTGTTGATCTATGGCCCATCCCACCCCACCCCAACCATCCCATCCCATCCCATCCTAACCCATTCTATCCCATCCCATCCCATCCCATCCCATCCCATCCCATCCCATTCTAACCCATTCTATCCCATCCCATCCCATCCCATCCCATCCCATCCCATCCCATCCCATCCCATCCCATCCCATCCCATCCCATCCCATCCCATCCCATCCCATCCCATCCCATCCCATCCCATCCCCTCCCCTCCCCTCCCCTTTCCTCCCCTCCCCTCCCCTCCCCTCCCCTCCCCTCCCCTCCCCTCCCCTCCCCTCCCCTCCCCTCCCCTCCCCTCCCCTCCCCTCCCCTCCCCTCCCCTCCCCTCCCCTCCCCTCCCCTCCCCTCCCCTCCCCTCCCCTCCCCTCCCCTCCCCTCCCCTCCCCTCCCCTCCCCTCCCCTCCCCTCCCCTCCCCTCCCCTCCCCTCCCCTCCCCTCCCCTCCCCTCCCCTCCCCTCCCCTCCCCTCCCCTCCCCTCCCCTCCCCTCCCCTCCCCTCC